TTTTAAAAGCCTTTATCACCAGGCTTACACACTTGTTAATGCAGCCTATCTTTGGCATTTGGCACCGTCTTTGGCTATATGCAAGTAAATCACATGACACGTCCCATTTATTTCTGCATTTTCCCAGCTGACTGAGGAAAGTTTGCACAGTGAAAGAATTTTTAGAATTTGGTGATCAGTGGTCATTGTTGACACACCACAGCACACAACAATGAAATGTGTCCTCTGCATTTAACCCATATGTAGCATGGGGCGGTACCTTGCTGGTCGGGGATGCGAACCAGCAACCTTTTAATTACAAATACACTTCCCTAACCATTAAGACACCACTGCCAACTGTCAGAAACTGTCAACTAACGACAAGCACTAGCAGCGGTGAGGACGAGTTTTTCTTGTTTCCTTTGAGCAAACAAATGAAAAAGGCAAATATACCGCATACATCCAATTCCATGGAAGCTTATGCTTACAACCACAATTGTTTAGTCAAAAAGAAGTTTGTGTCATGCCCCGGATGCCTTTTCCCCCATGTTCCCTGTTCTGTGGCTCTAACGAGCCTCACCTGGTCAGCCCCCTTGTGGATGATCTCAGGTGCCTCTTGTCTGCCCCCTCATCTGTGCTGTGTATAGTGCCTTCTCATCCTGAGCTCCCCAGTCTGGCCATTGTATTGATGTGTGTCTTGTTGCCTGGATGTTGCCTCTTGTGCTCCCCCCATTTACCCAGCGCTCCGTCTCTCTCCCTAGTTGTGACCCCTTGTGGTCCATTTACTTAGCTTCCCCCCCAATAAAGCCACTTTATTTTTCTCCCCAGTGCCTGCTTTGCTCCCGTCCTTCCCGCACCGTGACACTTCGGATGTATCCGTCTATTATCAGTTACATAATTACAGGGGATATTGCAGAAAGCAGGTTAGTGGTATTTCAGGATAAGCACAATTAATATTATGAACATGCCAGCAACATAATCTGTTATCAGTTTATTAACTAAAGGAATAGAAAAAAACAGCACTTACTGATTATTTTTATTGGATATTAATTGTATACAGATAAGGCTATAAACCAAGCAAAAGAAAGATATTAAGTAGACACAGTCTAATATAACACAGGAGGCATATTACAAAACCTTAAATTAATGATCCATATAAATAAAAGCATTTCGAACGGTCCCTGGGCGCCGCTACGGGTGGCTGCCCTTCGCGGACAACTTACTCTATGGAAAAAATATAACATTTATAATATTATAATTATTAAATATAATATTGCCAATCAATATATATATGGAAAAAATATAAGTTGAGGGAGGTGTAAAGACAATTTCCCCACGGAGATCATTAAAATATCAATTATTATAACATGCCCCTTTGTCATCAAATAAGACAGGCTACGGATTATTTCGATCTCAATGTTTTCATTTTGAAAATCAATTCTAATATTAAAATATGAAAAATTAACATTGTAAGTTCAACATATATTGTAAGAGGCAGGATATGAACTGCCCATAAGCGTGGAGAAAGGGGAACGGTACCCAGACACGGCACGATCTATAGGCAAAACCCCCACCCCCGGTTCGTTAATTATTGTTTATCGTCAGGGTTAAACCTGCACTGGATACAGTGGAACTCGAAGATAATCCATTCCAGAAGGCTGTTTGAGAAGCAATGTGGTCGAAAACCGAATGAATTTTCCCGTAAAAAATAATTTAAATTCGATTAATCCGTTGCAGATTCCCAAATTGCAGCCTATTTTAACTAGTATAATTGCATACATAACGCCAAAACCCTAAATAAAAACTTTAAAAACCATAAATACATGATATAAATTAACATTTGACTGCATTTATCCTGTACATTGGATAGATAACATACAATTATTTAATTCCTTTTTAAGCTCTATCTTGGTTCTTTGGTTTTGCTGTTACCACTAACCATCTTAGCACACGATGGGCCATTTCAAACCAAAGTAAGATCAACAAAAGCAAAAAAATAAAAAATAAAATAAAATAAAACTCAAAAAGGAGAATATTCACAGCACATTTCGGTGGAAATATTCACTACGCAAGAGTTACCGGTAGACTGACTCATGCACGCATTCTTTCCTTTGTCTGTGCGTAAAGAGACGCGTACTTTGTCAGACAGGTTTTAGGGCGAAAGGGTTGGTTGAGAAATGAAAACATGTTCGACAACCAAGACATTTATTATTATTATAATTTTTTACACCGAACAATATGGTCGAGAACCGAATTGCGCGAGTTGTGAGACTTTCGAGAACCGATGGTTCCACTATATTGGTATCTGCAATACCAACCTTGGATAGAAACAAAGTCGGATCAAAATTTGTATCACGTATCATTGCAGGGTTGTGTTGTAAACCAAATGAATGGTTTTCTTCCTATTAAAACTTATCACATGTAAAAACTGACATCCTATTACTCATTGTTTTTCTAACGCAATGACAGGTCATGACAAGGCGAACTACTTGGTATGAAAGTGTTAGGGTCAGCTCCTGTTTGTCCAAGTCTTCAGTGTGTTGTTCCTGTTTCCCAGATGCTTGCATGGCTCAACAAGCTGAGCGTGTGGTTACCTGTTAACTCCTTTGTTGTGTGTTTGAATCCTCCGTTTTTGTTTTCTTGAGTTAATTATTTGTTTCACCTGTTGCCTGTTGTTGTGCCTGCCCATGTGTGTTTACCTGATTGCCTGTTGCCCTGCACCCTTCTGGAATGGTTAATTGTCTATGTCTCACTCCTGCTGTGTCATTATCCATTTTAGTTTCTGTATTTAAGTTCCCGTCAGTTTACTTATCTAATGGGTCATCTATATACTTGTAGCTGCTGATGGGTCTTGTTGACTGTGTGTTTGAGTTTTGATTTCCCGCCTGTTTCTTAGTGTAACCAGTTGATAATTTGATGATAATTTTTGTATGGGTGAAACTCTCCATTAGTGTCACAGTTCTTGAAGCAATTCTCGCTGTGAATATCAGTTGTGCAGATTGTTTCACACAGTATTTCAGTAGTTATACACCTGCAACTTCCGAATGCCTGAGGTCGATGCACAGAGGCAAAGTGCTGATTATGTTCTTTACCTCCAGCCTCACAGGGAACCAGGCAGAAGGGGCACTGCTTTCCACAGCCAAACACCCTCTTGAAGAGCTCATCCTGAGGCTTGATGGCGAGGCCTTGCAGAACATCGGGAATGTTTTTCAGTCTTAAGCACTTTTTCCAGATCCTTTACTGCTTCTAAGAGACTGTCTGTGAAAGACAGGGGTTTTGATTTGATTTGAAATAAGACCCCTTCAACTATATCCATAGGAATCCGCATGTCCTTGCTAAGAGTTCTGCATAGATTTTTAACAAATATACTAGTGTTTTCCATGTCGTTAGGTAAAAGTTGGCCATCACTGTTGGCCTTTGAGGTTTCTATGGCCTCATAGATCTTCTGCATAATCACAGCAAGAATCTTGTTTTTTAGCTTTCCAGCCGACCTCTCTGTAGATAGCCCATTGATAATTCGCATAAAAATCCAATCCTTGACAAATATCTCATATCTTAGGATATATTTGACATAGCTCTGAAAATCATCTTTCTCTAATAGGTCCTTCAGAATGGTGAACTGAAAGTAAGATCGAGAGCTGTACTCGGTGGAGTGACTGCTTGTCAGGATTTCATCCACAATGTCAATCCCCAATGATCTGTTGATGTAATCTGTTACTGCAGGTTTAAGACATAAATTGACAAAGTCTGTCACTTTTCGCTGACAATGATCCTTCTCGAGGTACAGATCCAAAAAGTCTGATAAGTACCGAGCTTTAGAATCCTCTAGGTGTTGACGAGGATCTTTATTTTTAATGAATCGCCTGTGCATCTCAAGGAAATCCCTTGCAGCATGACTACAGATGTGCAGTTTTAGATCAACTTCACACTTTGTGTTGGTTTTGAGCTTTTCATGCACAAGATCATGGTCTATCTTTTCAAGCAAATCGTTGGTGAACATGTCACTGTAATCTTTCTGACTCTTGACAAGGTCTTTAACAAACCTTTGGCAATTTTCAATGATCTCATTTATAGCATATTGTGCCTTTGCATTTATTTCCTTCTTTAGAAATTCATTCAATTTCTTTTTAATCCAATTTCCTTTTAAATGTTTGCTCTTAACTTCAAAGGTCTCACCAGCATAGTCAATCAAACTTGTAACATTTTGCAAGTCCTCATTGACGTTTCGTCTTTCCAAATTCTTGCGTAACTTTGCGAACACAGAAGAAGCAATATCTCGCTCCTTCAGACCTGTAATATTTTTCACAGTCTTAGTCCACATCTTTTCAAACTCTTTGCTCAACTGCTCATCTGACAATTGGGTATTTGTGTTTTTACACGATTTCAGGAGTCTGGACACTTGCTCCTCAATCATTTTCATGTGCTGACTGTGAATGTCTCTCACCTTTATCATGTTCCTTTCTAATTCAACAGTTGTGTCCAGTTTGTTATTCACAGAATGCTGAATTTCTTTCTGCAGACATCTAATGCTATTAAAGAAGTCCACTTTGTACTTTTCAATTAGATGGACATGCCTGTCTTTTCTTTTGTAGTATTCCTTTAGTTTTTCAGTCATTTTTTGTTCCTCTGTCTTCAACTCACTTAATGCATTTTGTTTTATCTTTGTGATAAATTGCTGTAAATCATGCAGATTATCAGCATTTTCTATCAGAAAATGAGAAATCTGCACTTCTGCTCCTGCTACCCACTGGAGCATTTGTTTACCAAATTCCCATTCCCATTGACTGAAGTCCTTGCACAGGTTGTCGTAGGCGTGGGCCACCAATGTGTTTCGGAAGCTGAAAATGAAGTTTTCATATTTGACTGCTTTCCATAGACTCCGCATCCATTCCAAGAATTCAGGAATTTGTGAAGGATGTCGTTCTGCCTTGCAAGACTTTATCTCTTCTATGAGGTGGTTCTTGAATTCATACACAGCTTCACTGTAACCTGTGTTGACTGGGGCCATTGGTGGGGTGCCATGCCACAGCCCTGGGATATACCAGTTATTCTTCTCCATATCATAATCTAATACATCTGTGAATTTAAGGACTTCACTCTGTTTCTCCATTTTAGCTGCGATATTTACCATCTCATCTAGCTGGTCCATGAGTTGTCGTCTTTCTGCAGTGGTTTTATTGTGTGCTGAAACTCCAGCCACATTCTGATGAACAAAATGGCATCTGGGCTTCTTGCCAACTTCTTTCATCCTGAGAAATGCATGAACAACAATCTGCAAAATGTCCTTCATTTCTGTTGAGTTCTCCATGGCGATGTTGATAATAGTAATGTCACTCAAACCAACGACCAGGGTGGCTAGCTGATTGTCATGTTCATAACTGTCCTCAAGCTGGGACATCTCTGAAGACTTGAGGCCCTCTGTGTCAATCAGCAGGATAAAATCACAGCCCAGTTCTTCACGCAGGTCCTCCTCGATTTTAAGAAGCAACATAAATGCCCCACGGGTACATCTGCCACTGCTGACAGGGAACTGGACCCCGAACATAGCATTGAGCAGAGTTGACTTTCCTGTACTCTGCACCCCAAGCACTGCCACCACCCACAAGCGACTTTTCTCACCCACTGCACTGTGAAGCTTCATGAGCACATCTCTCACCCAGTCCACTGGAATGTTAGATGCATCTCCATCCAAAAGTTCCAGAGGGACTCCATTTAACAAAATTTCTGCGGCAATATTAGGAAGATCAGAGAACTGATTGGACCTACCCTTAAAGGCCTCATAGATTTGTCCCATTTCTCTAAAGTAATGCTCAATGCCCAGAGAACTGTCAAGAAGCTGTTGGTCAAGCCGTGCCAGTGAGTCCTTGTTGATTTTCTGCTCCCGTGCTTCCTTCAGCTGGCAGCGAAGTTTGCTTAATACTTTTTGGGAATGAGTGTCCAGACTGAGACTCAACCATTTAAGGAAAAAGGCTCTTTCCTGTTTATCTGAGGTTGAGAGAGCATTAATAAAGCTCAGCATAGGTTTAGTTGTTTGGTAATTCCCTTGTTTATTTTTTATGTCCTGTATCTGCTCTTGTAGCTGAGCCTTGTATGTTTCCAAATGTTGATCTCCTGAGTTGAGCAACCGACACTCTTCCTTTTCTAGTTGTGCTAATCTCTTCCACGGTTCACCTTGCAGAGGCAGAAAATTCTTCTTGTATTCTGCTACGTCTCGAACACCAATTGTTTTCTCAACCTCCTTGGCAGCCATTTTTCCAGATCTAGAAGCATCTGTTTGGTCTTCATCAACCTGAATGCCTAGATCATAAGCCACACTTGAAATCTGTCTTAGGGTTATACTCTCCTTGCAGTTCTGCATTACGTGTGTGACAGCAGCAGTTAGCTTATTCGAAAATCTTGATTTGTTGTCCTTTGCAGATTTTGATATTATATTACTTGATTGCAAGTCTAATTGACTGATTAGCTGCTCAACAGAAGGATTATTTATTCTTTTTGTCTCTCTATCAGTCTTAACAACCAGGAAAAACTTGGATGCAGTATTTTTTATAGAGCTTAACAGCTTAATTTCTGCCTCTTCAGCCTGATCCAGGAATACAAAGATAGCGGATGACACCTTAGTGAGAAATGCAAATTGAGTTTCTGAGGAACAAATATCTCCTCGTAAATTAGCCACTGTCAGAGGTTCTCGGAAGATATCAAGATTTTTGTTACCACAGGGAAGGTACCAAGTAATTTCAACCAAACCATCAGCGATGTACCTATGTACGTTTCCAGCCTCCATGTCAATGTGTGTGAAGATGTTGTGCATTTGCTGAGCTTTGCTCATGATCTCATTGAGAAGCTGGGACTTGGGCAGGCTGCATTCACGTAGCCTGACAAAGGAGATGAATGGCATGCTGACATTGACAATACTGTCCTCCTCAAATCCTTTTGTGTCCAATAGGTAATGGGGACGCCACTCTTTCCGGATGTCCAGCATGGCCCAGAGCATCAGCGTGCACTGGGATCCACTGCCTGGGGGTAGTAGAAGGGGCAGGGCAAACTGACACATTGACATCTTTAGCATCATTGCCTGCTGAAGGAAGCTGTCCGCGCAGTGGAAGAGCACAGTGACGAGGTCCAGAGGATTCACTGTGTCGCTTTCCCCATCATCATCGTCGTCATCGTCGTCTTCTGTTTGAGCCACGATGCTTCGGCATTCAGCATTGAGCATCATCAGCCGCTTCAGGAAGCGCATGGGCAGAGCCCTCCCTGAGTCTGACGCTGCATCTGTACTGGAGTCACTGGTGATCTTCAGTAGACACTGGAGAGACAACTTGTTGGGATAGTATTTCTCCAGTCCAAGCTTGCATAGTATTTTCCTTAGATCATGCACTTTACGTGCCACTGAAACGAAATGCAATGTCACAGACTAAGATAAATATAATGGCCAATTTATAAAACTGAATTTAAATAGCATAATACATGATTATACAATATAAATCCATCCTCACTTAGTTTTCCTTTATGCACTTAAAAATGTAAAAAAAAACTAAACATAAATTCAAGTTACAAACAGTGCTATCTTAATTCAAAATGCAGATGAATGATCAATTAGAATTAAGTACACCACACATACACAGTGCATTATCATAACCGTAAAAGATGGAAGGATGTAGTTACCGAAGCGCGGCCGGCTGGGCTGATCAGGGCTGTCCATCGTCCCTCCCTGCTTCAAATGCCGAATGCAGCTGCTACTGCTGTATTTATGACACAAAACTGAAAGTACGCGGCGGAGTTATCTTTAGCGTCAATCTTTAATCTGTAGACCAATCTGCTTATAAAACCAACTTTAAAAGATAAGTGGCCATACGGTCATGGACAATAAGAATTATCAGAAGACATTTAAATCCTATTATGAGGTTCAGCCCAATTTTGTACCATGCAAAATATATCCTTATCTTAAAATTATATATTGAACAATTTATTCATTCAGTTTTCTATTAGCAGAACGACACACAAATTTAGGTCTGTTTTCACTTGGTCCAAATCCATTTCTGCAAATGCTTTTAAAGAATACCCTGTATATTGATAACTTTTAAATATTTATTTTCAGAGGCTGGGACACATGTAGCACAGTGACACATGTAGCACAGTGACACATGTAGCACAGTGTTACATTGTTTGCAATATGTGTATTATTTCTGTGGATTAATATAAATGAAAATTGCATTGGTGGAAGTGTTTGCATCTGATGGCCTTTGTTTCCTGTTGTTTAATTTCTTGTATTATTTTGTGAGAACTTCACAGTTGCTTACGTGAATATATACATTTTATCTCAACGTATCTGCATCAGAGTTACATGTCATGGTTAAAAATTAGGTTATAATTCGTAATTTAGATTTTAAATCAGGTCTGCTTTATGCTCCCCTTGCTTATCTAGAGAGACCTTTAAGCAGAACAATAAAAATACTGACTGGTCAGAGATCTCTTCACTTTAGGATTTACTGTATGTACTGTAATAAAAGATGACTTCCTGATGAGAAAAGGTCTTTTTTAATAAATCTTTAACATTTGCATGTTAATCCTTGTTTGTAGGACAAATTTAATCACGTCGAATTTTAATCCTCACATACGTCATCATTACATTTCAAACATTTACACATTATGTGAATGTCACTATATTTTATTTTCATCCTGTGTTCATTTTTCCTAAATCTATAACCAGATTTTTGCAGCAAAAAGTGTTGCAAAATTATGTGTAACTTTCCGGGCGATTAATGGGACAGACGACTTAACCCAGTGTGCTCTGCACATGTGGGTTTGAATCCCACTTTGTTTTCCCCGAGTGGGGGCAGCATGTGGCTCAGTGGGCTAAGCCTTTTTGCTGGTGATCAGAAGGTTGCTGGTTTGAGCCCTGGCCTCAGCACCTCAGGGCCCTTGAACACGGCCCTCAAACCCCAGTTCCATGGGTGCCACAGCAGGTTGCTGCTACTTGTTGCCAAGCTGACATTCAATTTATCCCAAATGAAGCTAATGCAGGTGAAAAGAGAATTTCCCCATGGGGATCAATAAAGTATAATCATCATCATACATGAGTAAAACATGCTATGAAATGACATTTAATGCTTTCTGGCAGGTATTGTGAGGTTATTATGTTAATGTTTGTAATTAATATGCAACCCTGACCAAGACAATCTGTTCTATGGATGGATGGATTGATAGATGGGTGAATTAAGGCCATTTTATTCTACAGTCATAATATGAGACATATAATAAGAGAGAGAGGCACAAGATGGGGCTTAGAACTTATAACCCTTTAACTAGTGTCTGTTGCATATTTCTGAAGATCATGTGTATTCAGTATGTAAAATATTTCCAGAAGAAAACCACGGAGCAGCCCCAGTCATCGACTTTAACGTGATTAACTTGCCCAACCAAGACCTGAGAATGTTGGACACCAGTTGCACAGTTTATTTTTATTTGCATTTCATTTCAGTTTTTTTGCATTGTGTTTAGGGAGGCATATACAAATCCATACCATTTACATACAGGATCATGACTAACTACTGAACAATGGAAAACGTGATTTATGAAGAGGTCTTTGATCAGAAGAGGCCTAATTTAATTGTTCCAGCCCTGCAGCCCATAATGATGCGGGTCTCCAGAAGCTTCAGCATGTCAACTTTGACCTAGAAGAGACACCACAATGTGCATATTAATATAACCGCTTGTGAAATGTCATGTATCCACCCCAAACAATGAACTCTGCAGGAGACACTGGATAGCAAGTTAATTCAAATGAACTTAATGAATAACTTCTTAGTGTTTTTAAGAAATGCATAAGAAGGAAGATAAACCATTGGAAGGACCCTTAAAAAATTCATTCAGAGTAAAGTTTGTTTGACTTAACATTTTCAGCAGTTACTATACTTCTGGCACCAGGTGGTGCTCTCTCACCTCTGGGATGTCAACCATCCTCCTCAGCTTCTGGTCCCTCCAGTTCCAGTCAAGCACCACATACTTCAAGGCATCCAGGGTCAACCCATCTGTGATCAGGGAGGGAGTCTCACATGAAGGTCACATGACCAGGCCTGGAGCCATTATTTTTGTAGTGGCAGAGCATCTAAATATTACCGCTGTAATTCTCAGTGCTACTTATTATGTAAATTATTTGGCCTGAACCTCTGCAGGAAACTACTGCAATAACGAGAACCTTCTGTATGTTTGCTTCTTTCGTACCACCAGGGGGCAGAGTGGCACACATTTGATCAGTTCCGGAGGTTAAATAGATAGCACTGATATTCATTTTATCCCAAATTAATGACAAACAGTGTATACTTTATTGCATTTTCCTCTCTGTGTCACGCAGTAATGCAGACCCCCCCCCCTCCCCATTCTCCCCCCAGTGGTTAACAGCAAGTAAATGTGACCCCTTGCCTTTTTCAATGAGCGCTTTTATTCTGCCTGGCGTTCCCACTCCGATGTGTGCAACCCCCTTTGCCAGCAGCTTCATCTGCTCCTCCACCTGAGGGGGGGGGGAATTAGCGGCGTTACACAGCAGACCTCCATTCATCACACACAGACTAAATCTGCTCCTTTGCAAAACTGTTTTCAGGTGTGCTGAAGTAAATCTAATCACTGGAGCTCTGGACTGTGGCACTGCTTACTGGAATTCACTGGAGCTCTGGCACTACAAGAACATACATATCTAGCTCAAACATTTGAGCTGCTGGGGCGGTGTGGTTGGCTCCATAAAAAGCAGTGTGGCCTCACACCTTCGGGCTTGTGGGTTTATTCCTGCATATTTGTGTTTCCTCCCACAGACTAAAGACAGGCAGAGAATTCCATCTGAATTGCCTGCAGCATTTGAGTTGCTGTCTTGTGATGGGTCAGTATCCCACCGTTTTTGGGATAGACTTCAGGCTCACCGTGACTTTGTACAAGACAGAAGGTTATGGAACATGCTTTGGATAAGAGTTAAGCAGCAACAAAAAATATCTCATTTTAGACCAAGAAAAAGAGCACAAGAACTTCAGCAGAAAGCTGCGGCATTGCTCACCTTTATGTGCTTTGCAAATAATTTAAGAACTTTTCCTTCTCCTTTAAAAGCCGTCAGCTGCCTAACAAGAGGAGGAATGTGAGCTGAAGTCAGTATTTTCCTTGTGTACAAGTACATTTTCATTGCATTCATACTTCAGATCGTGACTGAATAACAGTCCTCTGTCACTCACTTGATGAGCTCGATAGTGCGAAGGGCTGAGCTACAGATTATCAGCAGGACGACAGATCTCTTAATTGCGTGGTTCTTCTGCACTTTGGCCCATTTTGGACAAACTGAAACATAATGTGAAACCAAAACAAGGTCATCTAGCAATTTGCAGGAAGAAATTTATCTCATCTACAGTTTATCCAAAGTGTAAAGTAATAAACCCTCTTATTGACAAACCCACAATGATTCACTAATCATATCAACAGTGATTTGGCCAAAAAATAGCGAAACCTATAAGATACAGGCAGAAAAATGGCCGCAGAAGATGGATTAAGCATTCCCCAGATACAAGGAGCCCAGCTGTGTTCCTGGAAGGCTGTGGGCATCAGGTAACTTACTAACCAGGGTTGGGCTTCTGTCACATGAGGCACAGTTACCAGACGCCAGGCACTTACTTTCCTTAAGGTAGGAGGACAGGGAGTGTGAAAGGTCATTTCTGGCCAAGAAGCAGGAATCTGGCATGAGAAGCGAGATGAAGGTCACAGATGAAGGGGAACTTAGGATTCACCTGGATCATGCTTCAGCTTCCATTAAGCAGACGGCTGCATAGCTTTAGTATCAGTCACAAAAAGTTAAAAAGCTGAACCACTTTCATATTTGTGTGCTGCCTTCCAAAGCATTCTTGCCTGGACATTATTCCCTGGGGATGCCCTTAGAAACATACCTGGGAGCTGCAACTCCTCCAACTCAATGATGGAGAGCTTGTCGGCGTAGTGATCACGGAGAAGTTCCTGAAGATCGGCTGCACATCCTGGCTTGGGCTCAGATGCGGCCAAAGCATCGGTGATGTTCTTCTTCTACACAATACATGAAAGATCATGCGAGTTCAGAGGAACACGGTAATGGCCGGCTTCATCAGTGGCATGCACATTGAGTGCAGTTCCCCATTTATTCCTGCAGGTGTCAGTAAAAGCAGGGTTGTCTCCTCCATTTGGACAGTGCAGCTAAAACAGTTTTCTATGGGTTTTATGCATTGCTTTACCTTTCTCCTCTTCTTTGGCTTTTCAACACCTTTATCTTCAGCCGTGTCTTGCTTCTCCTGAGCAACGAAGCACTCCTTCTGTAAGAACATCTAGTGTAAAATGATAAAAGTCAATGCATGTTATGCAAATTTTAAACTAGGGTTTTTCATATACCTTCTTCTTCTTAGCCTTTGTTAACTTCACACTCTCAGTCTTCCTCTTCCTCGGTTTCTTCTCATCTGCAGCTTTCTCTGAGGGCTTCTCTTCTTCTCCCTCATAGGATGCATCTGTCAAAACGACAGGGTTATTTTTTTTCTCTGCGTTTCAGAGTCACGTCTCACTTCTGTCCACACGAGTGGACGAACACTGCCTCTGTACCTTCCATAGTTTCCACTTCAGCCACAAGTGTGTTGCAAAGGGTCCATATTAATACAACGGATGAACAGGTACTGTTTTGCTGCTACAGGATGATAATTTTCCAGCCATTTTTGTGATACAAGTTGTTCACACCTTTCCGTCACGGGTGCCCGTGTTCTGTAGCAGGATATCTGCATTTCCGCCCACTGCACCATCTGCTCCCAAATCAGAGCAAGGAAGTCGGGAATAAACGCATCAACATCATGGAATCATGTGGGCGAAAGCTGCCAGATTGGCTCTGGAACAAGGCCTTACAGCAGAGCCCTGAACCCCTCACCATGCAGGGCGGAGATAAGTGTTGCTTCAGTTCGTTTCACTCATGCTGAAGTGGACGGCAGGGGAGGTCATTGCCGACAGGGAGATGATATGACAGTAGGGGTGGCCAAGCATAACTGACAGCTATCTTTAAAACGGCCGACCCAAGCTCCAGGAACAGAAGGCTGCGGAGAATGCTGAATCATAAATACCTCTTCTTTTAATGAAAGCAGCCTCCTCCCCCCCACTCCCCCTGTGCTGTGAATCCAAGCTTAGTGACACTGAACTTTAGCACAGCAAAGGGTAGGAAAGTCCCGTGGATTTAATGCTGCGCTCCACACAGCCCAGGATCCTCCCCCAGCTGGCCTAGAGGGAGCTTGTACCCAATAAAGAACATGTTTCGTCGTTCCCCCATGAATGTCAGCTGGTTATGTTCCACCACTGCAATGTTCAACACCGTAAACCTTCCTGTCAGAGCCTGCAAGGCCACTAGACGCAGTGGAAAGGAATTCTGCTGTGTGCGGTGCAATTAAAATCGACGGGGGGAAATTAGCGAAAGAGAAAGTAGAGGAACCGGGGGAGATCCAGGGCAATACAACAAAACAAGGCATTCACTGAAAATGGATCTTATAAAATATGTAGTTTTGAATAAGTTTCCCGGAACTGAACTGGACAGTTCTGAAAGCATGCACAGAAATAAATCAATCAATCAACCAAATTTATTTATAAAGCACATTTAAAACAACTTCCATTAACCAAAGTGCTGTACAAGCATAGGAACAAGTCGATATATACTCTAAAATGTATATAGTTGATATACAGTTAGCATTAATACAATAAAATACCACAGGACCCAAAATGGAACCTTGAGGTACCCCACAGCCAAGAGGCGACACAGTGGAAGAATACTTCCCTAGCTGGACAGAGAAACTCCTGCCTGTCAGGTATGACTGGAACCATTAAAGAACTGACAAAGAAATCACAGCAGGATGAAGCAGACAGATTAATGTGTTTGGACTTCCCACACACCTCTTTTAAAATCGTGCAAGGGACTGAAAAGACCTGGACCATCTTTCTTGGCCATCCGAGTGTTTTGGGGTGGGAAGGAGATCCAGAGAGCCTGAGAAATAATTTTCTACAAGCACTGATGAGCAGCAGGGAGGGATAAAAAAAAAAAAAGGGGATTTAGCAGAGAGCCGCAGTGACAAACGGCAATGCGCGATCGCCAGTGGGCCAGCTTCTCATAAAAGGCCTTCAGTGCTGAGGCGGGCCCCAAGAAGGCGTTTACAACTGTTTGGATGATTACATTTCCATCTGAAGAAGCATGCAGCAGGGGAGCTGTTAAGAATGTCCCCATATCGCTGGGCGGGATATATCGCATCCGCTGCTTGAGTGCGGGAGAATCCTGTGGTAGGTTTGCCCACACTGCTGCCACACTTGTCCTCAGTTGTAAGTCTGAAAAGGTTCATGGCTTCCACAGCACCTACCAAAGCTCCCACAGCCCCACGAGCGAGACACACAGCCCTGAGTGGCAGCAACTCATGTCCCTGGAATCTCTCAGCTGCAAGCAGATGAATGCAGACCAAATCTCAGGAGCTGCTGATGGCTCCTGTGTCTATATCACTGATCGTTATACTCAGTAAAAAATAGGTAAAATATAACTATTACTAACAGAAGTGTCTTTAAAAGCAAAGGAACAAAAGAGTTTGATATACAGCAACCCAGACTGTGAACATAATAACACTGCAAGTCAGAACCTCATTTGACATCTAAAGACCAGTTATGGAGAATCCTCTCCGTAGAATCTTTATAATATTGGTGAACCACCCTGACTGAGACTGCAGTCTCCCTGGAAATCAGACCACGGTGTCCATGGAAACCAGTCTGTAACATTAAGTTCTCCTAGCATCTGACCGGAAAACTGATTCTTGCCACGCCCAGTGAGACATCTGCCTCGATGTCCCTTTCCTCACGGTTTTGGGAGCAGTCTAATTTGGGATGTTGTAGATCCCCCTCTTCCTTGGCCGGCTGCAGGTGGAGGTACGACAGGGTTGGGAATCAGCCTGCTATCGGAATAGCAGTTCCACTCTGGTGGGGGTGATGAGAGACAGGCGGGTGTGAACCCTGCACATTGCAACGGTGCCTGCTGAGCTGTGGCAGTCAAGGTTAGTTGAGAGACACTTGAGATTAGTGTCTGGTTTCCCTTGGGGGTGGGTGATCTGACTGAGGGGACCCTAACTCAGACACAGACAAACAACCACAACAAAAAAGCATGGTGCAGGAGATTGCTGCTTATCCTCAAGCTTTATCTTTAAATATCATTTTGGAATCATTGTTCTTGAGATGGAATGATGCTGGTCCAGAGCTGGTCCTGGAAGACCCTTCGCGTATTCTTAACTAGGAATGGTCGCTCATGCAGATGACTCTGTGTCCACGTCTTGGAATTCTTCCCATTCCGGTGACAGATTATATTCTGTAAGCCTGAAGATCAAAGCCCAGCTTGACCGAGGCAGTACAGTAATCCCTCATTCCCCCGTTGAGTGTTGAGCGAGGCGTAATGAAACTCCGCTAATCAACTGCCTATTGTAATTGCGGATGTCAGATAATTCCTCCAGTTTATTGCTGCACACAGCTTGTTCTTGTTGCAGTAGTCCTTTCAGTAATGGGCCATGATTCGCAGAGCAGCATACAATCTACACTGTGTATTGCTTCTGTTTTTTTTAAACTGGGAATTATTAATGCTGAAACACCAAAAGTAAGATGCACAGATTAAACATTTTGAACACAATATTTATATGGTAAATCAACAGCACAGGAAGCGATACCTAAAATGTAACCATGTGAGAAATTAGCTGGACTTTCAGCAGAGAAACGAGCTGCACTCTGTGTATCAAGATGCATCTCTTCCCCTGAAAAGGACAACAGGTGTCTGACAGCAGGGTCTCCATGACAACCGCGAGCTCATGACAAATACACTGGGAACACTGGGACAGAACTTGTCAGTTTAAATTTACATGGTATCTTTCTTGTAGGGATTATGAGGACTGCCTTGCAGTCCATTTTGCAAGGCTTTATATGCGTGACACTGGAGACAGGGGGGGGGGGGAGCGTGGAGCGACATATGGCAACAGCTGTGACGTAGATATTGATGTAAATGCAGCTCATTCTGTCTTCTAAAGAAAATTCCACAGAGCAGACAGCCTGGGTACTTTCCAAAGGCTGAGCAGGGTCTTTGTGGACAAATGTGCAGAGGTATCTACAGAGCCTTATTCTGACATCACAGACGTGCCAAAGTCTTGTGTTCTTTTTATTGTATCTGAATATAATATAGAAGTAATATATAATACAATTACTTCTAAGATTTGGAGCGCAAGTAAATTTTACTGATGAGAATGAGTCTTGAAAGCAAAGCCACTTACTGCTTATATTGCTCACTGTTTTTATGCAAAATGCATTCGTGGTCCAGTACAAATATAACTGCCAAAACGTGCCAAAGTTAATGAAGAAAGACTCAGGAACACTGACATCCATAACAGACCTCAATCCAACTTTGTTCTCCCTTGTGCTGTGATGTTAGTTCATCATCATGACCCCATTTTTGGACAGTCAGACAACTGGTATGTGCTGTTGAAGCTCCAAAAGCAACCTCATGAAGACATGATGAAGATGTTTTCCACAGTACCTGATACTGCATCAGTATTCAGGAGCGGCTATTTATGCTGAACAAACACTCAGCAAACTAACTGGAAACACAAAACTACAAAAGCAAAGCTTGCCTTTCATTTTTTTTTTCAGTCTTTGAAGACATCTCCTTCCACATGCTGCAACCTGGCTGTAGCATGCTCTAGAGTCTAAGATTTAACTTCCGTTAAATTTTGGACTGCCATCAGTGAATATTTCTGTGTGAAGTGTACAAAGCAGCATCCGACTGATTTCGGCAGCGATCTAGAGATTTCTTTCTAATCACACGGACCAGGGTGAATACCAAATGAAACATATGTTCACTAATTCAGCTAACATCTCTATCGTTCCAGCAGTGCTGATCACATCTTCCATTGGATAGATACATCCCTATAGCATAGTATCCAAATACATAAAAGAGCATTAATATACAAGTAGCTCCATGAGATTTCGATTACTCGCTCAACCAATAGCAAATTGAAGGCTTGCCATTGGAATTGCATTTACGTACTTTTTCGGGGCCTGGGATAACCTCATCTGTCCCCGGTGTGTTTATAAATCCACAAAAGTCATGACTCCTACGGCTTTCCCGAGGACCACCTCCTCCACATTGAGGACCAGCGCTAATCTCCACCACCCCTCCTCCAAGAACAGCCAGTTTACTGCAGGTGTCCCTCACAATGCGAGAACCTGGCTAATCTGCTTGTGCCAATCACTGAAGTCAAGCGTGCAAAACGAGCACCATAATAAACATGAAACCTAGTAAACCTGTAACCTGCACTAGTACACACACACACACACGCACACACGCACACACACACACACACACGCGTGTACGTTTATATTCATATCTTTCTTTAGACTCTCCATTCATTTCTATGGCCATAACCCTAATCCCAAGACTGACGACCTTAACCCCCACCCAGCCCTAACCTTAACCATAAGTAGTTTTGTGGACTGAGAAGGTTGTCCCCACAATGTCAAAGTAACAGGTTTTTATCACATTGTGATAAAAATGTAATTTATTTTTTTAAATAATTTTTTCACATTTTTATGACACTCAGGCACACACACACACACACACACACAATCGTGTTGATTCACTCCGGAGCTGGTCCGCACTGTTCTCCTTACCCTTACTCACGTTTGCACAGATCCTCCTTCTTAGGTATCACGTCTCTCCCTGGGACAATTTCTTAATCCACAGGACCACTCACCAGCTCCATGGGGGTCACTCTCCTGACAGGACCATCTGCGTCGGGGGTGGGGGGGGGTGTAAGTGCCTGCTGGGGGCCGAAGGGTGAGCAGGTTA